TGATGAGCCCCCAATAAAATGATTAAAAAAATAAAAGACTCTTCCCCATTTAATGTGTTTCAGTCCTTTGTGAAAAATTAGCTGACTCTAGGTGGATGGATTTATTTCTAGGTTCTTAATTCTGTTTCATTGGCTGTGCCTGTGGTTGTATAGTACCAGGCTGTTTTAAGTACCATGGTTGGGTAGCAGGTTTTGAAATTGGGAATTGAGAAGCTCCCTGCTTTGCTCTTCGCTAGTGGCCCTTTCCTTTCCTTCCCATATAACCTTGGAGACTAGTGCTTTTAGCTCTTTAGGGAATGGTGTTGAAATCTATTGTGGGACTGCATTATGTCTGTGGATTGCTTTGGGAACTATTAACATTTTCACCGTTTTATATCTTCCTATGAACACATTTTTTTAAACCTATTTGTGTAGGTTTTGTTTGGTTACTTGTGGTGTTTTACCGTTGTCTTTGTGTAGGTCTTTCTGTTTCTCTGGTTAGATTTAGCCCTACATTTTTCACTTTTTGGGTGGCCATGGTAAATAGGATCACTTTCTTGATTTTGTCTCTGTAAGTGTAAAGGATTCTGAGAGATTTTTGGATGCTTCGTTTGCACCCTGTTACTTTCCTGAATCAGTCAATTAGATCGCACAATTTTCTTGTTGAGCCTTTGGAACTTTTATGTTTAGGGTCAGATCATCCACAAGCAGTTTTACTTCTCTGTTTGCTAATTTGGGTGACTTTAATTTCTCTTTCTTGCCTTATAACTCTAGGTAAGATTTCCAGCACAATGTTGCATAACAGTGATGTTAAAGGAGATCCTCATTTGGTTTCTGATCCTGAAGGGAATGTTTTATTCATCTCCATTGAGAGTCATGTTGGCCAACAGTTATACACATATGCCCTTAATTATGTTGAGGAGTTTCCCTTCTATTTTTATTTTGGTGGGTGTTCTCATCAAGAATCGGTGTTAGATTTTGTTGGCTTCCCTTCCCATCTCCTTTAATCCATATGATCATGTGCTTCTTTTATTTATGTGATGGATTCCATGGGTTGTCTTTCTAATGTTGATCCATCCTTGCATCTCTGGTATTGGGAGTTTTTAATGACATATTCTATTTCTTTTTTTGTTATGGGTCTGTTCAGAGTTTTTATACACCAGGTAGGTAGTATGCTTCTAAAATTTTTTCTATATATTCTGGGTTTTCAAATGTGTTGGTGTGCAATACTTCCTAGTATCATTACTATACTTTTTGTTCTGTTGTGATGTCATCTATTTAATTTCTTAGTCATGTTATTTGCATCTTCTCCTTTTATTAGATTTGCCAGAAGTTCATTGGTTTGTTGATTTTATTAATCTTTCTGAAGAACAAACTTCTTTCTGATTCTATTGTTGTTTCATTTTTTCTGCTCTAGCAATTATTATCCCCCCCCACCATGTTCAAATCCAATACTTGTAGGCATCTTTTGAAGCTCTTTTTCTAATTGTTGGATGTCAGAATTAAGTGGTAATTTTGCTTTTTGATGTGAATGTTTATTGGTGTAAATTGCCCTCTGAGCACTGCTTTGACTGTGTCCGAAAGGCTTAGCATGCTGTGTTTTAAATATCATTTGATTCATGTGTATGATGGCCGACTTTGACCGTTGATCTATCCAGGGTACCAGAATATCCAGTCAGAAACAATAAATAGCAAGCCCCTAATAAACCAATTAAAAAAAAAGAAACAATAAATAGCAATGGACTTTTGATAGCAATATCTGCTGACACACATAATTCTTACACCAAGTTGATTGGGCAATAATATCAGAGTACAGTACTTCCATTTTTTCATTAGGAACTATAAAAACTTCCAATCAGAGCAGAGACAAGACAAACAAAATGTTATAAAATAATGAACATTTTGTCAAACTTCTAAATAATAACCGGCCCCTCACATTACACAGAGTTAGGCCAGGTTCTTTCCTTTGTTTCTGGCATTAATTCTGACAACTTGGAACTAACTAGAAATTAAAGCATATTCTTAATCATTCTCTTTTCACTCAAATCATCGTGTTTTATGAGAGGGACCTATTCTAGAAAGTTTTTTTTTTTTATCAATTTAGGGCTCCGTAACTCTCACCATAAAGTCGATAGCTCATTTCCCAGCTAGGTCAAGCCAATGCTACTATCCACTGTGAATGTGTCTAACATGGTACAGCCAGCCTCGCTCCCGCGAGCCGTCCTCACAAAGCCACAGCACACCTGCCCCAGTTCACTCCCGCAGTAACTGCTCGATCCACGTGCATGGAAAGACCTAACTTAAAACGGAAGCCCCTGGTGTTTTAGCTTCCTAAGGGAAGCAAAACCAAGCCAAAAACCCCTCCCCTCTCTATAGGATTAGTTGCTACCTAGGAGACCAGTCTACGATGGTTCTAAGGAAAAGGACAACAGTTCAGACTTGTTTTTCCTTCCTTGCCAGATGTAGTGTGTCAGTAGTTTACAGGCGAAATTCAAGTTTCCGAGACTTAACTGCCTCTTGATGTGAGCTTTATGAGGAAGCTCTGATCAGCCCGATGCAGGAATGTCTGTCCCTGCCTCAACCTGCTTCTCTGAGCAGAGAACTGCCTTCTGCGTTCACTTCCTGTCTGAAAATTAGCAGCACTCCAGGTGGGCATGGGCAAATTTTAAAAAGTCAGTAAACGCTCTCCAGCCTATTAATAAAATTCACTGATTTTCATTGTTTATTAAGAATGTTCAGGACTAACCCCAAGGTTTCCCAAATTTATTTGACCTCCTGCTACATTTTTAAGGAAAAAAAAAAATTTACGCAGCACCCTCCGGGCAATGAAAATCTTTTGTACTATCGCGCATAATCCAGGGACAGGGTAGGCACTGCTTTTGCAGCCCCGCCCCCTGTTGGTCTAGTGCTCTGCGGGGGACATTAGCCCTTGAACTGGATGGGGATGTGTACGTTACCCACCTGCCTACAGGCCCCGAGAACTGTGGTCCAAGTACTAAAAATGGAAGCATAGTTTTGAGATGTACCAAAAAAAAAAAGTTTACTTAAATATGTTCAAAGAAAATATGTTCTTGGAGAGACTCACAATACATGTTAGTGTATTAGGGACTCTGGAAAGTCTTGCGGTCAAAAGCATTTCAAATGGTTATAGCCTTTCTCAAACTTAATTCATGGTAGGATTTTTTCCTTTTCACATTAACATTTACTTAAAAACACCCCCTATGGATTTATGCCCTAAGGAAAAGACATTCAGAATCACGGTGTGGACCATACTTATTTTTCTCATTCTGCCTCATCTTTTAAAGGAGGTGATCTGTGTTTGGGTAACATTGTGGTTGGGGCGAAGATGGCCTTTTAATAGAATCAATTATATTAGAAAAGATAAGCTCAGTGAGGTATACTTTTTAAGAACCAAAGACTTCCAAACCAGAGAATTTCAAATAATTAGCAATTATTGAATGTTTACTGTGTCAGGTACTATTATAAGTGCTTTGCCTTTATTAAAACATCTCATACTGTTCTCGTTGAGAAACCAGACAAAGCAGACCCCTGCAGTTCACCCACAGTGATAGGGGGCTCATGACCCCTCCTTCGCCGGGAAAGCAAGTGCTTTCTGCAGTTCTGGAGCCAGACCACCTGGGCTCAGAGGGTCCCCTCAGCAGTTTCTAGCCCTGTGATTTGAAAATGTTGGTATTCCTTCACCCGTGAAATGTAAAGCAAGAAAAAAACTGCTAGAGTTCCCTGAGAAACTATGTAAAATACATAGAATAGGGCTTGACCTACTAAATCTCAATGGGTGTCCACTTAAAAGACTACAGAATCAAAGCTAGTCTCACAAAAGTCTCGTCTCCTGACCCCACTTCTGTCTTCGGCACCATGGTAAAACGAGACTGCCACACATGGCCTTTCAAAAATGTAAAGTTCACAGGGACCGTCGTTTCTTGACTGAGCTGCACAGACTCTTTCCAAAACCTCTCTTTGGCTTCGATCTACGCAGATGCCTGGAGTGTTGATGTCTCCTTCCCAGTGTTCTTCTTTCATACGATCCTTAAGAGGCTGCCATTTATTTCATTAAAGACAACACTGTCAGTACCACGATAAATGGAAACAGTCCATTTAAATACAGATTTTCATTTTTAAACATTTAAGAATGCCTTTAAAAACTTGTGTTCCCTCCCAAAGTAAATGTTTTGATGTCAGGTCTTAAGATAGGCTAGTTATAAGTCATGCCAGCCATTGGTTGAATGACTAGCTGCATTCTTTCCTCCCATGTCACTTAATAACAGTTTTTTTTCCCAACAAGAAGATACTTTAAGGATTTGACCAGATGCCCTCTAAATTCCCTTTTAATCCTAAGATTCTGTAAGGAGAGGCTGATTCTGCAAATGAGCTCCACCTACACAAATCCTGAGAGGTTGGCTTTGTTCGCTGCCTACTGTTTAGAGGCACGACTATACTTCACTACTGTAAAAACTCACAGCCTTGGAAACCCTGTTTGGCAAATCTACTCTGGCCTGTAGGATTGCTATCACTTGAAATTCAATTCACTGGCAATGGGTATCATTTCTAACTCTATATACATCTTACCTCAAGCTATTTATAGCCTTCCCATTTTCTGATGTAGTCTTAGGAATTGGCTCTTCGGAGAGTGATTAAATTGGCTTTCAAGTGGCTTATCTATTCCTGCTGTTGATAGTTTCCTCTTGGCATGGTAATCCCCTCTCTATCTTGTCAGATAAGTGTTTGGGTATTTCCATTAAGCATAAACAAATGACTCTACTGATGGAAACACAGGCCTTCAACATCCCCTATTCCAGAAGACCATTAGATCAGAAGACTGTCAGGAATTCCTCCTACTGCCCCCGTCAGGCTCTTTGGAGGGCTTGGGCATAGTCTGGAACATACACCTACAGCAGGAAACCACCTGGGACCCAAGGGGATCTCCACCCACACAAGAGTCTCCTGCAGAAGTGTAAGAAAGGGAAACAAATGTTTACAAACACAGTGGACAAAGCAGGACACAGGTTCAAACATCGTCTATTTTTTTTCCCATGGTCACAGCTGCAATCAACTTGATGGCAGTGAATTTTTCTTTTTTAATGAATCATAGCTAATAGATTTGAATGTTTCTTCATTTTCATATGTTTCAGTCCCTCTCTCATTCCATTTTTCTTACAGGAAATGTTTCTTGGTGATAAATATAGGGCTTTAAGGAAGAAACATCAGTAATCACAAAGTATGAAACCTACAGCAATTAAAGTCGCAGTTTACAAGGTGAGCTCAAGTGCCGTGTCAATTATACCCGCATAAGCCACCCCTACACATCAGGTCTACATAGATACCAATGCAGTCATGATTACTGTCGCCTAATTTCATGTTTAATATTATCAAAGGCTCTATAAATCCCTTAAAAACCCATAGATATATCATCAGCATACACATCCATTATCTGGAGGAATAAAGTACTCCAACATTTAAAAAATTGGGATCTAAGACACAGTACAGTTTAGGGTGACTCAGGTTAGTTACCTAAATCTTCTTCATCGAGCTTTTAAAGTTGAGAGATTTAAAAGTTTCAAATATAATAAAGACTTAATCCCACATTCAAGTTGGAAATGGAGACCTATCTTTCTATCTGACTTCTTTCTGGAGTTGAAGTATTTTTCCATACATACTTTCTAAGCACAAACATCTTCTCCAGGTTTTTAAAAAAAGGCAAATTGCCATAAGTCCTGCAGAAGCCAGAAGTCGTGTACGGGAGAAACCTGAACTATTTCCCACTAAATAAGAGTGACAGGAAGGTAGTAAGAGGGCACCCGCCAAAGGTGAAAAGCTGGCTGCAGCCGGCTCTTGAATATGTTCGATGACAGTTCACTTAAAGTAACAGCGTTACTTTGCTTCAGTAGATGATGGCACCCAAGCACCAGAAAAAAATGCCATCTCATTTCTGGATAGCCTGGGCACATTCTTCCACAACAAGACTAGTTTCCCTTTTGAAGCGTGTCTTTGACTTCCAATAAGGACCTGAGGGTGATCACAGGAGATTTCATAGCTCTGTGCTATTTTTAAATGTTGGGCAAACTGGGCTGGTTCATGACATAACTCATTAAAATAAGCTGAGATTGTGGGGCTAGGCTAGCCCAAGAGTCAGGAAAAATACCTTAGATCCCTGTGTTTAAAAATGAAAAAGGAGAGTTAGCATTGTAGTGGCTGAAAAAGCCCAGAAAATAGTGTACATTGAATGCCGCAGTTCAGAAGAGGATTGTATTTCATGATAACTGTTCAGTGTAAAGTATTTCCACAAGGACAAAGTTCATTTAGTGAGTCTGCAGGGGAACAAGCGCCTTCAAGGCCACAGTTGCCTCGTGTGTGGGAAAGACTGTCACCTTTGTTAGGATCACTGCCTTACCTCCTTTTTTCTTACAAACACGCATCTCTGTAACCTACATTTCTCAAGTTCATTTAAAACCAGATTTAGAAGAAATCCAAGAAGATAAGAACAGACACAAAGGAAACAAACAGAAGGCTCGCCACTGCAGTTTCTGCAGGATAACATTTCTTGCTGTTCCCACCACTGTACCACTACAGAACAAGACACTCGTGGCCCGGGGATGAAGCAATGTGCATATGATGGAGAAACATGGAAACCAGAAGAGGGATATCAATGCAAATCAAACTTCTAACATCCTAGCAACACAACAGCCTCGGCCCTTATTTACTCCTTTAACGTCCCGTCCACGTGAATTCACAGTTTGATTCCAGAGGAGTCGTGTGTGCACCATCCACCCGAAAGCAAAGATGGCTGTTTGAAGAGGGCCAAGGAGAACAGTTTCCAGTGTTGCTGGTGGTGAGCACGCCAGTGTCCCCTGGAAGCCGACCAAAGGGAGTTTGAAAGCAAGATTGGGGACCATGGAGATAGAGAAGGACAGAAACAAGGCATGCTTTTTTTTAGGCTTCTTGGGCTGGGGAGTAGAAAAATAGGTGTTTTCCTTTGTTTTTGTTTGTAGCCAAGAACAGAGAGGCGGTTATTTCTGAGAGCACTTTTTCATGTTCCTCCGTCTTTAAGGGAGTGGTAGGCTTTGGCAGTCCGGCTGTTGACAAAATCTGTCTTCTTAAACTGAGCCTTTGGAATAAGCAAATAGAAATGTGAAAAGCAAAAAGACAACAAAATTTTCACAAGCAACAAAAGGCAGCTGCCCTCCGCCCCGCCCCCAAGATTGCTCACCAGAGTCAAGTCAGCCAGGCTGTTATCATCTGGCTCTGTGAACAATTACCACTTATAGCACTCGTACCTTCTTGAAGGAATTATGGAGTTCAGGGTGAGTCCACAGGGAATACAGCAGGACAGAAGCAGCTTTACTTGCTTTGCTGGGGCAATAGCTGAAAGAAGAACAGGACATTCTGAGATCAATGAGGACGTGAAGCTTCTGGACACAGCACTGTGCTGTACATGACGCGTCTTTAACTGCGGTTACTACAGCACTGTGCTGTACATGATGCGTCTTTAACTGCGGTTACTCAGTGGGCATCCAGGAAGTCATGCCACTCAGCAGCGCCAGGGCATTAGATGCACAGCTTTGGGGGACAGGGATCAGGCTTCATCTCTGTTTAAAACTTAAACTTTAAATGCTTAGCACAGGGCTAGTAAATAATTTATAGAGTAAACCTCTGATATTTGTAAGAAATATATTCTTAGGCACATACAAATCCTAAATTTATCTGTAAAATAGAATCTTCTTCACAGAATTCAGGAAAGTGTGATTGAAGAAGATACATGCCTTTCATACCCAGGGACTCACTCTGTGAGTGGAAGGTAATGCAGTGTTTCTAGTTTTTTTAAAAACAATTTTCTTGGTACTTTATCTACGTCATACAATTCAATAATTCAATTATATCAAGAAGAGTTGTACAATGATTATCAATCAATTTTACAACCTTTCCTTCTTCCTTGTACTCATTGTCATTCATGTAATTACTTTTTTAAATTGTGGCAAAAATATACACAACAAAACTTCCCCCAATTAAACAACTTCTACATATCTAATTCAGTACCATTGATTATACTTTTTGTATTGTACATCCATTATTGATCTCCTTTTCCAAATTATATTTTTCTAAGTTTTTAAAGTAAAGTCTCTGTAGAATTTGATAAAATTGTTTTAAAACCACCCCATGTTCTTATGTAGAATAGAAAACTTGTTCCTATTCCTGTCCTCAATCCAGTCTCCAATAAATTGGATACCAGATAACCCAAATACAATTACCGTATATACTTGTGTATAAGCCGAGTTTTTCAGCACATTTTTAATGCAGTTTTTGTGGTGAAATTAGGTGCCTAGACTGATATTCAGGTCAGCTTCTACTCGACTATATATGGTATATTCTGCTTTTAAATTTATCCCAAAATTTTACTTCTGGCAAAAGATCAATGTTGTTTTAGGTCTCTCCTCTTTATCACCTGAAGTAGCCCATGAGTCATTTTTTTTTTTTTTTTTAATGATCACCCTCCCATCTGCCCCCATAGCAGAGCAACCTAGAACCAGGGAACAAAGAGTGCGTGCCAAGCTGAGCAGAGAAGTGTGTGCTCACCAACTGGCGATGTTCATGCTTTAGTTCAATGTCTTTTCATCCCTATCAGCTTGGCAGAGTGGGTATGTCTAATTAACATTTCAGGGACATTTAGTACCTGCCTGATGGACTTTTCAGAACTGCCTGCTCATAATCAGGGTGTAAATAAAACTATGGGTCTATAATCCTTAAAACTGCGAAGAGTTCTTAATTGCAAAGGTGTTATAGTCATAGTTTATCACTTGATTAGTTTGGCACTTGGGCCTCCATTATCTAAAAATATACAGCCGTAAGTAGTAGTTAACTCCCCGGCTAGCTCATAAATTACAGGTCAGCGATACATTGGGCTAATAAGAAAGGAAGCAACTTGTAAGTGTCCTTGTTGAGGATTGCTTTGGAGGGCCTGTGAGGACAGCCTCACACACAGACTCACAGCAACGAAAAGCACAGGGCAGCACATCCTCGTCCCTTGCTAACTACACGCAGTTTCCAGAAGCGATGGCACTCTTGTGCTTCTTAAATTTGGATAGATAGGCAAATCATATCATATTGTCTCAGAGAGATTTGCTTAGACATTTCAATAACTAGTTGGGAGAGTCATTTCTATTTTGCAGCAGTAATTCATTCACATGTGCTCCACAGATGCTGAGCCACGGCTAGCTGCCAGACTCCAGGGACGAATGAGCAGTCTCTGCTGGGACAATGGACATGCTAGGCAGCGCTCATTTGAAACACGTTCCTTCTTGGTGGGCCTTGCCAGAGGTGGCCTGCCAACCCTGCAGGGCCTCAACTGGGAGGGCTGTGGCGGGGGCCATGAGGGCTCACTCAATGATACCACTGGCCCTGAGACACACCTTAGACACCGTATGCAGCAAACACACACATTGCTTCTCTACTCCAAGTGAAGCCAATCTGCTTTGCTACCCACTGACAGCAGGCTGTATCATTTCTTTCCTTCTGTTGGTCGTTTGGAGAAGTAACGTGTGTACAACAAGTCAAACCAGAGTTACATAAAAAGATCCTGTTCTTCATGCTCCCTTTCAATCCCATCACTCTAAATCCTCACGGCCATCGAGTCCATTGCCATTTACAGCAGCCCACCACTCTCAATTCACTAATTTTAATAATTTGGTTATATGAGGTCTTAAAAAATATTTTTCTTCTCAACTTTTCTTTAAAAAATTGGACTGTAAAATCAAAGAAACGGGGATGTGGGATGACTAATGGGCATTAGGCTTGCTCTCAAAAGAGAATAAAGGTGTAGAGGAAACCGGGACAGGAGGAGTGTCTACCACTTCCTGTGCCCTCACTGCCTTTTCTACGCTTCGTGAGGTGACCCTGGCTGTGCAGAGGTGAGAGAGGGAACGGGTGCTGACTCGGACCCAGCCTGCAGGTCCCAGTGGGCAGATCCATGACTTCAGGAAGCTAATGGATTAATTAATATTCCCCCCACCCTTTTCTGTTTGCATCTATTTATTTATTTTGTTGCTTTAAAAAAATTTCTTTAGTTTTATGAATAATTTTATTGGGAGCTCTTACAGCTCTTATAGCAATCCCTCCAACGATTGTATCAAGCACATTTTTACATATGTTGCCATCATCCTTTTCAAATGCAAACTGATTTCTGAGAACAAAGTGCCGGAATGCATTACCAAAGAGAAGTTAAAAGTTTGATTTTCTCTGGATATCTTAGAAGACCACAAACACCTCTACGATTTGTGTGGTTCAGGTATTTTTTACTTCCTATGCCTGGACTAAATGTGTAGGCCCTGCTTACCGACCTTGCTTTGGCCAAGTTGCCTGTGGTACTTAGGCACACAGAGATAACCTGCCACTCGGGCGTGGTGATGGGGAAGGGTGAGGCACCTGATGAGGAGCAGACGCTCAAGGAACTTACGCGTCGCCGGCGCTGATGGTCATGATTTTCTGGAGGCCGCCGGTGTTGAAAAGGTCCCGCGCGTTCTGGTAACTGTTTTGGATGATATTGTTCAACGTGTAACAGGCAGAGGCTGTGGTCTCAGTCAGGAGGTCAGTACTTGGAACCGTGTCAGGAATTATGGAAACCAAGTCAGGTAGAGTTTCTTTGGCTACAAATGAAAAGAAAAAGAATACTTTATTAGCAGGATTGTATTTCTTAATCTTAAGATTCCAACAAAGGTTGGGTAAAGAATATTTAAAAAATAAACAGAATGCAGGGATATTACTTTTCTGATAAAATTAAATACAGATTTAAGAAAGATGATTCTTTACCTCATTGGTCACATCAGGGTAGGTATTTAAAGAAAGAGACAAAATACAAAACCAAAAGAGCCCTAAACCCTCAAAACATGTATTGGCAAGGATGAGCACAAACCAGCACTTCCTGTACACCGTGGTTGGAAATGTAAAATGCGGCAACCACTGCAGAAAGCAACCGGGCCTGTCCTTGACCCAGTTCACCATAACGGCCACCTGGCTGGCGATTCCATTAGAAGTATATTCAAAGCAACTGACAGCAGGGACTTAAATGGACACTGGGCACCAGTGTTCACTGATGTATTATTCGCAATAGCCCCTAAGTGGAAATATCTGCAATGTTCACCAACAGATGAATAAATAAGCAAAATATTTTTTATATATATACTTTTTTTTTAAAGTGTGCTTCATACAGATTATAATTTTGGAAACTCCGGGTTGCTCTGAGTTGGTTGTTTTTCCCTTCTGTTTTTCTCTGCTTTGGACTCTGTGCTTTTGCTTCTCTGAATAGTTCCGTAATGCAGTGCTGCGTTCACGGTGGATGCACAGTAACTGTGGATGAACTGGACTATCCCTTCACCAGTGTTCATAGAGCATCTAGCATGGCACTTCTCATCATGCTATTGCATTTTGGGGGCATGTTTGGTTATTCTGGTGACTTTCTAATGGGCCTAGGGTTCTCGAAGACAATTATTTTCTTCATTTCTGGATTCCCACAGTGACTCATTAATGGCACTGTAGGTCATTCACGCATAATACCGTGATATGACTGACAAGTAAGATTCACCTTTTGCTCAAAAGCCTGAACACATCCCTTCTAAACTGTTATTTAAGTATCACAGCACACTGTTAGGAGCTCAGAGCTCAGCTTCTGAAGCCAAACTTCTTTGTTTCAACTCTGGCTCTGCCGCTTACTAGTCCTGTAATCTGGCTTAGCTGCTGAACGTCTCTGTGCTGCCTTTTCCTAATTTGTAAAGTTTTGAGAAACTGAATAAGCTTAACACATGCTAACTGCATTACAGTGCATTATATACAGTAAAATTGTAATACATGCAATTACTAGAAGGCACATTAAAAATACTACCTGGTTGGAAATCTCTCGTGAAAAACATAAAGCACGCATTTCAAATGGATTTTTATTTATTCCTGGCTATATTTTGATGATACTGAGATTTTTGGTGTATTAATTCCCTGAGGAGCCCTGGTGGAACTGTGGTTTGTGTGTGGGCTGCTAACCAGTGTCTGGGACTCAAATCCACAAGGAGCTCTGTGGGAGGCCGATGAGGCAGTTTGCTCACATCAAGATCTAGCCTCAGAAGCAGTTTTCTCTGTCCTACAAACCCACCAGCTGCTCTGTGGGGGAAGGTGAGCGTGTCTGCTCCTGTAAAGAGTGATAGCTTTGGAACGAAGGGTCTCTGAGTTGGAACTGATTTGATGGCAATATGCTGGGGATTTTTGTTGTGGTTGTAATTCCCTGACTCAAGGGGGACCTTTCACTTAGAGTACTATATTTAACATTGAGCTAGTTTGGAGTTGTCCTGCCATTTCTCTCTGTTGTCCTTAAAGAATGAGAGAGGGTTTATCAGTGGAATCATATCAGCCGTGTGGCTATAACTACTCGATATTTACAAGACTGCTGTACAGCCTGATACCAGCAGCATGTCTGTCCTGAAGGTGCCTGTATAATGTGTGTGGCACAATTATATTCCTTGGCAATGCTTTAAAGGGCAGAATGAACATTTCAGCTGAAGGAAGACAAAACTCTAAGGAAAATACACCTGTATTGAAGCGGAGAACAAAAGACCCAGAAGACAATGCGGAGAACCCGTTCATAATTTTGAGAGTGCCAGAGGCAAGGTTTCTTTTAGGTTCATTGAAAACTTTCCAGGCTCTCTATTTACCATGGGAGTGGCGCCATTGTATGGGACAGCTTATCAACTAGCATGCTGCTGTTTGTCTTTGGAAAAAACATTACTAAAACATAACCACAACACACTCCAATATCCTTGGTTGTATGTACGTGTGCATGGGTGCATAGACTCCGAAATCTAATTCCTCAAACAAACAAACAAAATTTTGTTTATAATTTAGCAAAATAATTATAAACTGAAAATCAAGTTGTTAGAAATTTATGGAGCATCAGGAAGCAGGAGTAATTTTCGCACTATCCTTAAATTATCTCATTTTATAGTTTTCAACTTAATTCAACAAATATTTATCATATACTTTTAGTTCTTACATATAGAATGAAAAGCTAATAATCTCTATCAATAATACCAGTAAAGTGGGTTAAGCACTGGCTGTTAATTGCATGGTCAGTAGTTTAAACGTACCAGCTGCTCCTTGGGGAAAAGATGAGGCTGTAATCTCCCATAAAGATTTACAGTTTCAAAAACCCTGTGGAGCGGTTCTATGCTGTCCTAGAGGGTCTGTGTGTGTAGGAATTGACATCATAACAGTGGGTTTGAACATGTTATCAATATTAAAATTAATAATCTATTGAGTCAATTCTGACTCGTAGTGACTGTATAGAACAGGGTAGAATCGCACCTGTGGGTTTTTGAGGCTGTAATTCATTACATGAGGACAATGGTGTTTTTCCTAATAGTTTAGAAAAGTGGTACTTAACCTCACCACATGGAGAACATCCTGAAAGACAGCTTTACAGATAAAAAAAAAAAAGTCGGATGGTGCAACTGAGGAATAAAAGCACATTCCTTACTTTTAAACTACTATCATCAAGTGGATGCTGCCTCACAGTGACGCTATAGGACAGGGTAGAATTGCCCTTGTGAGTTTCCAGGGCTGTAACTCTTTCAGGAATAGAAATCCCAGTCTTTCTCTCTTTAAATTAGGAAGGCAGTACAAATGTTCTCTCTTCAGGTTATTAAAAAGGAAAAAGGCTAGCTATTAAGAAAAACCCTCTTTGAGATGCAGAAGGCCTAACTTTGAGGGTGAGGCATATAAAAGTCACATTTATTTGCCATGTTCTATTATTTATTCAGATTTGCAGTTCATCGTTGGGAAAAGTGCCCAAGAACAAGTTTGGTGCGTGTGTGTGACATGTTTCATTTTCAATGTGTACCGATTGCATTTAGATGCTTTTCCCCAACTCACCAATTTCATTCTGCAGAGGCAGATTCCGAGACAAGTTCCTCAGGAGGAAGACCGCTGTCTTCTTCACACTCGGGTCACCCACATGCAGCATCTTTCGGGCGTGCTGAAGGCCATTTTCTTTCTGGACGACTGTCTGAGCTACGGACGCCGGCATCTGTTTTGTGAAACAGGTACTATAAATGCTACTGCATTTGATTTCACGGTTCATATTAAGTTTTCTGTAGACTGCTTGAAGTTGAGCAAGATTTTTTTGGATAAATAAACATGTTTATTTAGAACAATTTAGAACATTTTTATTTAAAATAATTAGACTAATGGATTATTGGACCGTGTCAACCTGACTGAGGTGAGGCCACAAGAACTGGATAGTGCCAGTTCCCATTACCAACAGTGAGCAAGAGGTTTTAAACCCATTGGGTTGGGGGTGGGGGCTGTGATGAACCAGTCTAAAAATGCTTTCTTTAATAAGTTTCCAATTTAATTACTGGATACATATATCTTTTCCCAAAACTATAGATTGAGCTTTTAAAGAAAGGAGTGTATGGCTCTTTGGTTGTCTGTCATTCTATGACCTGTATCAGAGGTTAGGTGTTCAAGTTACTGGTCCAGGGCCACCAGAGTCGGCTTTTATGTGACAGTACGCTGACTCTGTAGTTGCACTGGGTCTGAATACAGATCAGGCCCTGGCTTGCATCACTGAACCTCCGCCAATACGAAGACCTTGGCTTGTGCCTGCATCCTGATATTTATTGAACAGTCTGAGGCCAGCCTGTCGTTACTGGTCGTCCTTCGGGGTGATTTATTTTCTCTGTCTCATGTCCATGCTGCTTGTTATTGTCCCCTCAGCGTCCCCATCCTCGTGTTTCTCCATGTAGAACGTAGGGTTTTAATATGGAGTCCAGGGATGGATTTCAGGAGGCAGAAGAGTCTCTATAACCAATTTTGTGTGTGTTTATAATCAACATTTTCAGGGAAAGGATCCAAAATGCTTAAACAGTTAATAATTGCTACTTTTGAATGCGTGTTCTATTGCATACAAATGATATATATTGTCTTTCATTAACTCATTTAAGAGTCTCATAGCTTATTTAATTCCTTTAGAGGAGATTCCTTCTCGTGCAGCCATGCAGAAAGGCATGTCTCATATCTTGATTCAGAAGGCTGCTCTGGTATTACCATCTCTTTCAATGGTCCTTCTAGACAATAATATTTTCCCTCATGTGCAAAAACTCCTAGCCTCTTACTCATGGCTATCCACCTCTACCACCCCTTTGTCACATCTTGAGCCTATCTTTCTTCTCCGCCATCTTGAGGTCTATTGGCTCTTCTGCACCACGCCCTGGAGACTGGTGCCTGGCTCCGAGCCTTCTTCTCTGCATCAGGTGCGGTCATCTCAGATGACACCACTATCCACATGGACAGACCCGTCACAGTTCCTGCTGTTGTTAGGTGCCTTCCAGTTGGTTCCAAATCACAGCAGCCCTACGTACAGCAGACCGAGGAGTGCCGAGTCCCACACCAGCCTTACAAGCTTGGCGATGCTTTAGCCGACCACACTAGTCATGGGGTCAATTCATCTCGTTGAGGGTCTTCCTCTTCCTGGTTGATCATCTACCTTACCAAACATGATGTTCTTCTCCAGGGACTTGTCTCTTCCCAAAAGTTATGAGATAAATGGCCTAAACTCCCTAAAGAGTACTGACCTCTAGCGCTTCCATACACAACTTGCATGGTCCCAGAGAGGTTGTGTTCCCTGGGACAAACTTTGCTTTTGAAAACAAACTCCAACATCAGGTTCTGGACATAATGTCCTGTTCTCTCTCCCTTAGTCCTATCATATTTCTTTAGCTTCATCATCAGTCCTGTTACTTCTACTTTCAATCACCATTCCTTAAGTTCTCAAGACTTGCCTATCTTAACTTTCTTTCTTATAACAACAACATAAAAAACATCACATCAAAGGCAGACAGCGGTTGGTGTGAGATATGAAAACAATAACAATCTATAATCTATCAAGGAGCCATGCGGGTGGAGCAGGGGGAGGGAGGGAATAAAAGAGGAGCTGATCCAAAAAGTGCAATAGAAAGTAAATGTCTAGAAAATCATATCACAGTGAATGAGGTGGAGTGCAGATTGGGGACCCGAAGCCCATCTGTAGGCAACTGGATATCTCCTTACAGAAGGGTTGCAGGGAGGAGATGATCCAGTTAGGATACAGTGCAGCAATGATGAAACATATAACTTTCCTCTAGTTCTTAAATGCTTCCTCCCCTCCCCACCACCCGCCACTATGATGATCCCAATTCTACCTTACAAATCCAGCTAGACAAGAGGATGTGCACTGGTACAGACAGCAACTGGAAACACAGGGAATCCAGGACAGATGAACCCTTCAGGGCCAGTGGTGAGAGTGGCGATACCAGGAGGGTGGAGGGAAGGTGAGGTAGTAGAAAGGGGCAACTGATTACAAGTATCTACATATAACCTCCTCCTTTGGGGATGGACAACAGAAAAGTGGGTGAAGGGAGATGTCAGACATTGTAAGACAAGCCAAAATAATAATAATTTATAAATTTTCAAAGGCTCATTTGGGGGGGGCGAGGAGGGAGGGGAAAATGAGGAGCTGATACCAAGAGCTCAAGTAGGAAGGAAATGTTTTGAGAATGATGATGGCAACAAATGTACAAATGTGCTTGACATGATGTATAGATGTATGGATTGTGATAACAGTTATATGAGCCCTAATAAAATGACTTTAAAAAGTAAATGTCTAGAAAAGAGTGATGGCTTCACTGTTTCATTGGCTCAGTGCTGCTCCTCTGTTCTAATGGTCTCCTTGCTTTGGCCTCTGGTACTTCTGGTCTTGGCCTTTGCCACTTTAGACAGGGATCTTGAATGTGCCCCAATTCCGATGGTCCTGGGATTTCTATATTCTTGTTGAGATTGCTCATCCTTAAAATCAGGGTAGTGGCAACCAAAGCTGACCAATCCCCTCTATTAGTGTAAGATACACCGTACTTTCATAGCATTACCTAATCATTTGGTGGGAGTTACATTTGCTTTTTACTTGAGCCCCTGGTATCAGCTCATTTTCCCCTCCTTCCCCGCCACCCCTCTCTCATGAACACTTGATAATTTAAAAATTATTATTTTGTCATGTCTTACACTGTCCAAAGTCTCCCTTCACCCACTTTTCTGTGTCTGTCCCTCAGGGAGGGGGTTCTATGTAGATCCTTGTGATCAGTTCCCCCTTTCTACCCTACCTTCCTTCCACCCTTCCGATATCACCACTCTCACCACTAGTCCTGAGGGGTTCATTTGTACTGGATTCCTTGTGTTTCCAGTACTTATCTGTACCAGTGTACATCCTCTGGTCTAGCTGGATTTGTAAGGTAAAATTGGGATCATGATAGTGGGTGAGGAAGCATTTAAGAATTAGAGGAAAGTTGTATGTTTCATCATTGCTATACTGCAACCTGACTGGCTCGTCTCCTCCCTGCGACCCTTCTGTAAAAGGATGTCCAGTAGCCTATATATGGGCGTTGGGTCTCCACTCCGCACGCCACCCCTCATTCACAATGATATGTTTATTGCTTTTTGATGCCTGATACCTGATCCCATCAACATCTTGTGATCACACAGGCTGGTGTGCGTCTTCCATGTGGGCTTTGCTGCTTCTCAGCTAGATGGTGCTTGTTTATCTTCAAGCCTTTAAGACCCCAGATGCTCTGTCTTTTTGATAGCCAGGGACATCTTGCTTTTCAATGCTTTAAAAAGGTCTTGTGTAGCATATTTACCCAATGTGCCATTTGATTTCTTGACTGCTATTTCTCTCTTTTTGAATGAAATACTTTTATTTGGGGTGCTTACATCTCCCATCACAATCCATACATTCATCCATTTTGTCAAGCACATTTATACATATGCTGCCATCATCATTTTCAAAGCATTTTCTTTCCACTTGAGCCCTTGAGATGAGCTCATTTTCCCCCTCCCTCCCCTGCCCTCCCTCCCTCATGAACCCTTGATAAATTATAGATTATTATTTTCATATCTTACATTGTCCTTCACCCATTTTTCTGTTGTTCATCCCCCTGGGAGAGGCTTACATTGATTTCTATTTCATGAGCATTGATTGTGGATCCAAGCACGACAAAATCCTTGACAATTTCAACCTTTTCTCCGTTTATCATGATGTTAACTATTGGTCCAGTTCTTTCCACTCAGTTGTAATCCATACTGAAGGCTGTAATCCTTGATCTTCATCAGCAAGTGCTTCAAGTCCTCCTCATTGTGTCATTTGTGTATCGCAGACTGTTAAGAAGCCTCCTCCAATCCTGATGTTTCATACAATCCACCCTGATGATTTGCTCAGCACACTGATTGAATAAATATGGTGAGAGGATGCACACAATAATCAGTTCTACTCTGTCACTTGTGGATGACATGAGTCAAAACTGACTCACTGGCACCCAACAATAACAAGGCTAATGATGCCGAGTGCCTTTGAATGCACTTCCTGCCATTCTGAATATTCTCTTTGGTAAAAAATCTGTTTAAGTTTTCTGGTCACAATGGATGTTTGCAAGAGTGAAAGGCAACAGAGGTAAATACTGTTGTACACACAATCCTGCAACTATGGAGATCTACAAGTGGATACTTGGATGGACATGTAGGCTGAACAGATGGGAAACGATGGGAACATACCCATGAAATACATAGGTTCAACAGAGGATATCTGCATATTTACGTTGCTGCAAATATATCCATGAATGAGTAGAGCATACAGAGGACAGTTATGAAAAATTCTTGGATATATTGAAATGTTGAGGATACGAGTCACAGGCCTGGGGAGTAGGACCATAGTCTCAGTGACACCCAGGCCAGTTGGCATCACATAGGTCACAAAGACAATATTCTACATCCTAATTTGATGAGTAGCGACTGGGATCTTAAAAGCTCGTGAGTAGCCATCTAAGTGCACCTATTGGAACTATTGTATGGAGAGCGATAAAATTAGAAAGACACAGGGAAATAATTAGTCCAGTGGATTAACAAATCACCCAAACATCAGTCTCTGCACTCTGAGACAAGAAGAACTAGATAGGGACCAGCAACCACTATGAACTTCTCTAAAAAAGATCACATTAGAAA